TTAGGCTAGGTAGGTGTAAATAGTTTAGTATTAACTTGTATTTCTGTCAACTACACTATTTCAATTAGAAAACGGCTTCAAGTAACTGTGATGTACTGCATAGGAGGAGACAGGGTTTAAATATGACATAGGTTTTGACATAATTATATAGTTTATTGGAAAAATTTACTTTCTGTAATTGGCAATAGCTAAGCACATTGCGTATGTGTGTGGACAAGTCCTACATCATACAAGTGTTGGTTTCGTATGATTTAGCAACATAAAATTCTTGACATAAACGTAACTAATGTTGTATATGTAGCCAACCAGACATTATCACATTTATCACCTAACCTGTTGGGAGAATCCTGCCTTTTTTGATCTTAAATAACAACACACCCAGTTCCTTATACATATTAGAGAATACTATCATGTTAAATATATAGTAATAAATAACCCTGGAATAGAATCTGATGAACTTTAGCATAGCGAACCATGGCTATGATACCTTCCAATCAGAAGTAGTCAAAGCTGTGACGGACGTGCCTTAGCCGAACTTACAGCTGAACCTTTTTTTTGTTGACGGGGGAAACCTTCGAAAGGTGCCTAGCTTTTTGGGTAAAAAATACTAGGGAGTATGGGATTTTTACCTCACTAAAACCTCCTCGGTGACCACCGTCCGCACCTGAAGGAGGCACCGGGTCCTCTTAGTAGACCAACCCGGAGCCCTCGCCTACACCTACAGCTGAACCTAATAAAAATACGTTAATAAATTAAGACCCCCGGGGGGATAGAATCTGATGAGCACAGTGGACTATGGTTCTGATAGCTTTCGACCAGAAGTAGTATTATCCGTGGTGGAAGTGCCTTAGCTACCCATATATGTAACGAAATTACAGCTGAACCTAACAAAACATGTTGATAGACAGAACCCCGGGACAGAATCTGATGAGCTATGGCGTAGTGATACCTTTCAGACAGAAGTAGTTTGAGCCGTGGCGGAGTTGAGTGCGTCTTCCATACATTTTTGCCCATGTGAATAAATGGAAAACTCCAGGGCTGAATTTAATGAGCGTAACCATGGCTGTAATAGCTTTCAACCAGAAGTAGTCTGACCCGTGGCTTGATTAATAGTGTTTGATCAATATTTTTACAAAAGGCACGTACTGTCTTTTTACTATGCCTGTCTTTTTCATGCTAATAGTGGTAGAGGCAGTTCGACTGAATCACGAGAGTGAAGATGTACGTAGCTTATTTGTAGCCCCTACTTATACCTAAAACTGTATACATTTGCTGAAGGATTAGCAAGTTAAAATGGCAGTGGGTCAGTTACATATTTTGGAGAAACGGTTACTGTTCTAGAATAAAGTTCGAGCGAACACGTCTAGACAAGGTATTGTAAAGTTCTTCAGCTAAGTGGAGGAAAGTGAGGATGAGAAAGGGTTGATGATGATGTGCATCCAGTTTTCGTCCTAGTGGGTGCATAGGTAGTGGAAGATTATTAGCAATATCAATTACAACATAGTCAATTCTAATTTTTGGTTTGTCCTTCCTCTGAGTCCAGACAAATGAGCCCCGGAAAGCAGGTGTACGTGATGTATGTACATTTTAATTCCAAAATGTTTTGTAAATCCGGTTTGTTGCTATAATGCTATCGACCGAGGGGAGCAACGTTGTCCATGTTACAACTAGATGGTGTTGATATCGAGTTAGATCGCGCTATCGTTTTGTTCATGAGTATCATGGCTACTAGCCGACTGTTCTCTGTCAATCAATTTGTCTTCCATTAGAATGTAAGTAGGTAGATGGTTAGGTACCCTAAACCGCTTATTTATGTTTTATATTTTTGCATCCATTCGATAAGAATGGTTATAATCATGAAAAATTAATTTATCTTCAAGTCTTCTGTTTAGTTAAACAAAAAGGTTAAGTGGACGTACGTTTGATTGCAAGGCAGCAGGTTCAATTTCTCAGGCAGCAGCGTCGTTGGGTTATTATTATTATTTAGCATTTGAAATACTTCTCAATTTTTTGACAGAGTCTGGTTAGTACTCAGGTTATGGTCAAAAGCCCATCTCTTGTTACATAGGTCTTAGAATATGAGAAGTTGGTACATTTTAATACGTGCCTTTCTGTCTATGCCTTTGGGAATTAAAAGGCCAGACGTCATTACGTTTATGTTTTGTTTTCAATAATATCATGTATCTTGGAATATTGAACGATCACTAAAAGAATGCTTCATTGGACTTCAGCCAACCATGAACGGTAGGCATTATTTTGATCTTATGTTTTGTTATTGTATCACGTATATTGGACAAGGTCAAAATCTTGACCTTGACCTTAATTTGTATATTGCGTCAGGATTAAGCTGAGTAAAATATATGTGTCACCAACCTCTCTCGTCATGTGGGTTTCTTGCTAGCCAATTAAGGAGACCGAACAGCAGTGCTCTCTGATAATCTTTAACCTTCTAATCTAACATCATAACATCGCGCCTTTTATCCTCGAAGGCATAGGCAGAGGCGCACATTATACCACTGTACAATGTAACACCCACTTTTCACTATTTATGTTATGAATCCCATGTAATAGGGGGTGAGCCTATTGCCATATACCGGGCACAGTTCCAGACTCCGTGCTACTACTGAGAATTTTTAAAAACCCAGTAATACTTTGCCCGACCCGGGAATCGAACCCGACACCCCTTGCCCGGCAGTCGCACTTGCGACCACTCGGCCAACGAGGCAGTCTAACCTTCTAATCTATAATCTCTAATCCACCTGCCAACTGTGGAGATTATGATTAACATCTCTTATGCATCTTATTGTGCCCGGTATATAGCAATAAGTTCACCCCCTATTACATGGGACTCATAACATAAATAGTGAAAGTGAGTGTTACTTTGTTCAGTGACATTAAGTGCCGTAATATGCACCTCTGCCAACCCCTTCGGGGATAAAAGGCGAGATGTTATGATGTTGATGTTGTTGTCTCCTATGCAGATTAGGTATGGTCAGAGTAGTGGACGGTTACGGGCTATTGATGTAGTTAAGTACTTCAGAATAAAATTTTTGTACCTCTGATCAATACCTCTTAAGAGTAATACAAATATAAGACGCAGCTTTAGAATTACAGAGGAAATCCGTTTGGAAGATGTTTAAACGTTCGATCGTCCTTAATATTGTATGAGGAATAAATTCCCTAATCTACTTATTAATATCCAAAAAGTGTGTTATGTGTTTACTTTAAACCATCAAGTAACTCGACGTCGACGAATTTTCTATATTATAATTATTCTCCACAACATATGACAAATAAAATTCGAATCAGAACTTTTATTGTTCATCAATATCAATTTACTTTTGCAAACAAATGAACAAACATTCAGACTGATTACATTGTTTAAGAAACGTTTCAAATGTTTCTCTTTCATTTGATTTTAGAAATACTACTTCTTAATTAAGGAGATAGGTAATCTTTCTAAATACAATTAGAATTAGTCGTAAAACCAACTCATAACGAGTGTTCAAACGTTTCAATAATAGAGTACGTTACCACAAACTTAGCTCATATTTAGTTCCAAACCTTGCCGCCTCTCCCTAATGGCGCTGCGGAGCCCTTAAAATAAATAAAGGGGAGACTGAGTAGAGTTTCCTTTTTCGTAACTAGGTGGTGTTGGGATCGAGTTAGATCGCGCTATGGTTTCGTTACACGCGTTTCATGACCCCCGAGGCGAGCGAGCTCAGACATCGCGCAACCTGTAGCCTCCTATACTCTGATCTTTCAAAATTGTATCATCCACTTAGGAGATACAATTTATATTTTTGAAAACTGTTCACCGTTGAACAGTTAAGAAAAACTTAAAACTGATACTGAATGTTGAATGTATCTATGAACCTCGTTTTAGTGATCGTAATGACTGTTTTATACGATGTATTGTCCTTTTATCGGGTCGGTCGAAGTGTTAGTACTCTAGGCGTTTTAATTTTGGATGAATGTAAATATTTTATTTCATTTATGAATGTATTGTAGATTTAAAATATAATATTAACATTATGGTCTATTACACAATTCTAATTAATAAAATGACGATTTTTTTGTACGAAATGTATATATATGTGTCAGTTTATATAAAATACACTTAGTCAGAGGAGAAGCTTAGATAATAGCTTAGATATAGCACCATTAGAAATTGCATTTCTGTGTAATAGTTCCTTCATTAGTGCAACCACGAGATGTGTTTGTTTTCAATTAAAATTTGGATTTAATGAAGTCAAAACCGAAGTTTGAGTGAGATATTAACACAAATCTTAATGAATGTTTCCAGTGGTCATTCATTTAACTATTACATTGTTAAATTCGTTTATTTTTTAATTATCATCAGTCGATGACTTAGGAAAAACACACGTAGGGAGTTTTTGGATTTTTAAAAGCAATTTAGTAATAACATGGAGTCTCGTGCTACGTCGATCTTACTAAAACATACGTAACTTAACATAATAACTCCAGATCTTTAGAAATGCAAAAAAGTAGTGTGTTGTAAAAGAGACCCTTAGATTATAAGATTGGGTTTAAATCACAACTTCTCAAGGATAACGATATCATTCACAAAAGCTCCACTCAATCAATGCTATACCTGAACCAAAACAGGTCCAGACTATTATGTACGTGCCAGATGTTTTATACGTACGTACGTACCAGATGTTTTGTTGATTTAAAAAACACCTTTTATTATAGTTATCTCTAATTATTTAGATAGAGGCCCCATGTAAAAATATAGGTCTTTTCTATACTTTACATAAAATTCGAGTATGAGATGTCAATATGATTGTAAAATATACTAGTACCTACGTAAATAATTACGTATAATCATACTATTGTACGAGAAACAAAGTAATGAAAAAAATGTGCTTTATTTTTCACTGCTCCATCAACCGGACGCGACGTACTCAATTTAGGTCATGTTCCCTACTACAACAATACCTACTCAGTATTTATTTAATTTAATTCTTTGTCTACAGGCAGCAGAGAGTGGCAATGTGGAGGACTTTATGCGCCTGTACCTGAGCGAGCCATCGCGGCTGGCAGTAAGGGACGGTCGTGGTCGCACCGCAGCGCATCAAGCAGCAGCTAGAAACAACACCAATATATTGCACTTTATCAATAACTACGGGGGAGGTAAGTACTTTTTTTTTAATCTAGACACATTTATCCACACTAGTAAATTCAGATAAATTGTGTGTGTTTTTTTAAACGTTTCTAGCAACACTAGGAGCTCATAGTTTTGACCAGCATTGCGCAACAAACTGTGCTAATGACCTGATGGTTGAACAATATTTTATGTCTCACGAGAGTTATAATACAAAAATTCAAATATATATAGGTTGATAATCTATTTTACTGGCGCAACTACACACACAATGACAACGTGCACTCGAATTCGGAATACATGGCTGCAAATTACACAGTCCACGAAATTAAAACCGCAAACACCCTAACGGGTCTACAAATTACACAGGTTTTGCAATCGTAATTGGACAAAAATATGCACGCAAAGGTGCACCCTTTGTTCCCAATAGTATACAGGTCCGACAGATGGTATTCAGACTCGATATAGTCGTAATAGCTTTACAATAATGGTCTTTAAGACAAGGGATTTAAATATTGCCAAAAATGGTGTGTAAAATAACTATCACCCTACCGTTTCTTACCGTTGCAGAAGAATTAGAAGCAAAACGAGGAAATAATAATATTAAAAATATTAATTAGGTTTCCATGCAACAAAGTTAAACTTATTCCCTGTTGAGCCTTCTTGATGAAGCTCCTAATTAATTAGCTTCAGGTATTAAGTTGACTCATAATGTCAATGAGTAACGGGCGCTGCATATAAGCCTCAGTCCTGAGGGATAAAATCAGACGATGTCGCATCCGAATTGAGACTTTACTGCAATGGAAATCTGCAAATTATTAATAGCAACCGGCATATTACAACCTTTATGAAAAAAGAGAAATTAAGGTATGAACTAGAGATGTAGTTGGTCGCAGCGCAAGTTCGTGTAAATGAATTCCTTGTGAGCCAGAGTCTTAAAGTTACGATGAGATTGGTTTGTACAAAACTTGAAACTATTTTTGCTTAAAGTTGATGTTAATCTGGATGGTATGTTTTTTGCGAGTACATTAAATATGAAAGCACACAACTTTCCCAATATTTTGGAGTTTTGAATCTTGCCAACTTTTGTTATATTTTATTTTTGGAATATTGCATAAGTACCTACGGATCACGGTTTCTGAAAAATCGTAGTATAGGTATATTCCTCTGGGCGCATTTATTATATTTCCTTGCTTTTAAACAAGAACGGTATCTGTTTTCCACAATATGATACAACTAAGACTAAATTAGTCATTATGGTTTTGAATATTTCAATTGAAATTTTCTTCCCTGAAATCGAACAACGAATCTCAACTACCACGTTAACAGCAATATCACAGGTGACAGACTTAACAGAGATAAATTCATTTTTAATTAGAAAAACATATTTATCGTTACTTTTCACGACAATGGAATTCAATTGGAATTTTCGTAAAAAGAAGCTAAGATTATTTTTACCTAGACATTTAGAAAAAAATATAACTGAGACGATATTAAATTTCAAAAATTGTCTGAGTTATTTTTTTTTTCAAATTCCTTAAAGATTAAGTTTTTTTTTTTTATTATCATTGTCGCCAAAAATAGTTGTTAGCAGACAACCTTTAAGTTCAATATCAATATCAATTAAAGGGCAAAAAATTAAAATAAAAACCTACACAAGTTAAATGTTTTGTCTGGATAAACCGGACCGGTGACCGTGAGCGTTGACAAAGGCGGTCGGGAGAGACCCCTGCGCCCGGCGGCAAGGCGCAGGCGCACGGCACCCTAAGCGGCTCAAATAAACCATCAGCATTTCCAAAACTTCCGCGGACGCGGTAACTTGTTGCACTCATACTTCATGTAGTTTACAACTCGATTCATAAGTCATGAGTCGATTCTGGGAATCGATTATCGATATTACCACTTATCTCGCATCTCTCGGTATTAGAGGTGGAAACGGATCTCATTGCTTCACTCGTCAGAACAATTCGGTGGCGTTGGGGTTTGTGGTCAGAGGAGGTGGAGGTAAGTTTATTTAATAACTATGGTGACGTTTTCATGGGATTTTAAAAAATTAAAAGGATTTCAGTGATTGAAATTAAACTGACTCTGGTATGAAAGTATGGCTGTTTTTTGTATTTGTAATTTTGTAAAGAGTGATTTGGTTTTGTTGTTTTATTTAGTGTTTTTTTAAATGCTCACTTTTATTTTTAAAGAAATAGCATTTAATTCTTTCGTGTTATTCTAAGAAAATCATATAACATTTCTGAACTTCTAACGTTAAGAAAATAATGTATACGTTAACGTCAATTCAATACGTCTGGGACTAAAGTTTTTCCTTTTTTCTCTACTTTTTAGTAATAATTATTACTAAAAAATTATATAAATAACTTGGAACTGTGTCCCAAATGGAGTTCATTGCTATTTGTGTATAATTTAATCTTCAAATGTCTAATATTTTGTTTTCGATACAAAAGTGAGGTTATGTTTTGAGCGGTGTTTTGTGTTAGGATATAATAATAATATATCCTACTTATACACTAAATACAAAGAAATATATCAGTTTATTATACAGATATATTATACTGTTTTTAAATGATTAGGGTAACCTTTTAAAGTTAATAAATTACATAAGTTGAACTCCAACTTTTTTGCTATCCAATATAATTAACTTTAGCTAACTATTACGTACTTTTTAGAAATTTTATATTTATCAGAGTTGAACAATGTTTCGATTCATAATGAGAACTTTATAGGGCTTTATCCATTGTATGTAGTTGGAAATCGACTGTACCTCAAGTATGGTGTCTGTTAAAAAGGATTATATTTGAAAAATAGTAATTAGGTATTTGATTGTCATTTTTTTATTTATTTTTTTTATATCATAAGGTTGTAACAGTGTATAATCACCGTGAGGATAAGTATCATTATGATTATCATTCCTCCGTTTTCAAAAAGAAAAAAGGTAATTAGAAGTTAGTATATTATCACATCGGACATTATTTCAGTGCTAAAACCTGTTTTATGTTTTTGAAAACAAAAAAAGGTCTAGTTGTTTTAAATTAATTAGGTATAGGTATTTTACAGTCAATTTACGTAATTGTTTTACGATGTAACATGATTAATTCCACACTAAAGACTCGTAGTCATGAGCAGCATTGTACGACAAACTATGCCGCGAGCGTCGCGCAATCAACAGAGATACAGTGGCCAGCCTATCATCATACGCCAATCCGTTAAATTTGTTCATTGTCAACGCAATAAAGCTGAAGATGTAATGAAGAAATAAAACGGTAGATTGATCAGCTGGCTACCGTACTTTATTGTTGTCAATTATGTATTTTTTAACTGACTTCAAAAAAGAGGTTATCATTTCGACCCGTTGTATCTAATATTTTCAGAACTGCCCAGTTTTCATATATGTTAGTCTCTATCATCGTCTGAATAAATCTGCCAAATTTCATGTGTATGCTTGTTTTTATGTTTGTTCCCTCATATCTCCGGAACTACAAGTCTGATTAAAGTTATTTTTGTTTTATTGTAATAGGTATTATTCAATTTAGAGAATACTGTAAGTTTCATCAACATCGTTTCAGTAGTTTTTAACCAACTTTTTTAAGATTTATTATGAAACACGATTGTACTTACTTTTTTGAAAAAACTATCGTATAATAAACTACTTTCTAACCGTCATGTTAAGTAATAATAACAACGTAACATTAGCTGTGACGTCAACGTAAACATTGTAGATTTTATTTAATTGGTTATTCATTTTATTGTATCAACTCAATAATATATTCCTTATCATTATCTGAGTAGCATTTATGTGGGCGTAAAAGAAAATCGTAACCAATTATTAACAGCATACTTTCGAAATTACGCGATTCGAAGAAGATATATATTTTTGGTAATAAAGATCAAAATAAAGTAGTATTCTCGCCTGTCATTGTAATACGATACGCGACCAATATTATTCGGTTTCGAAAACAATGTTCGTTAAAACAATTAATTTTGTGATTTGTTATTTTTAGATGAGCTTTTGTGGGTAAATTGTTATTATTATCTTACCAAAACATGCCCGATGTTTCTCGAATTGGCAAGCAGAGGCGTGACTTCATGCACCGTAGCCACCTACCTTTCTATAATTTTTTTAAGAAGTAATCTCATAGTGATTGCGTGAACTTACGCTAAGATTACATAATATAAGAACAACAACAAAGAGTTTGACTTTTCTAAGCTTCAAGAATTAGTTCATAACTTTTAAAATGTAGGTTCACCGGTCATCAGCAGTTGTAGCCAAATGCCATTTAGCGCTTGTCTACATGTAGAGTAGAAAACTAAATTATATGGGATTGACGTAAATTTTGACACTTGTCAATGACGTCCCCATACATTTTAATTTCTACTCTCTTTGTAGACAAGCGCTAAAGTGGCATTTGGCTAAAGGCGAAACAATTAGAATGGTTTTGTTGGTTATGTGAAAGACGATTTAGGCCAGAATTTAAGTCAATGACCATAGGACATAACTTGAATATCCATTGATTTAAATGCTTACATCACTTCTCTTCGTACTCAACGCCTACGCAAGACGTCCTTTTATAAATTCGAAACATCGTATATTATACGCAATGCGTTTTTTGGACGTTTAAGCAAATCTTCTAGTGCTATTTTTATTTCTCTAAAAATTTAAGAGTTAACTTATTTAATGAGATAGATACTAAAATATAGTTTTATTAAACCTATTCAGGCCCATTTAATTTTTTTTTTTTGATTGGCCGGTGAACTGGCAGGAGATGACCTGATGGTAAGCAATCGCCCCGCGGACACCTAAGATACCAGAAGGTTTACAAGTGCGGTACCGGCCTATTTCGGAAATAAGTAATTTAAGGATTGTTGGAGATTCTGGGATTTAGAAGATTGGGGAGGGGTGTAATTGGGCCTCCAGTAAACTAACACTACGCAAGCGTTGTTTCACGCCGGTTTTCTGTGAGGCCGTGGTATCACTCTGGTCGAAGGATAGCCCTCTCACACTTAAAACCTATAAGTAAACCTGTATCATCCCTTCTATCAACAACGCGTGATATATGTCCAACGTTATTTTATTCATTGCGTAACAACAAGCGGGAATAAACAAAGTAAATCAAAAACCTCATTTCGTAGTTCGCCTAAAATTGACTTCTCAGACTCACTCAATCAAGATTACGTTAGAAATTATTCATAATGCTCATAAACTATTTAATTTAAGCCTACAAATATTATAATAACCAAACAGCTGCTACGAACGTTTCTGAGAATTTGTGTATAATATTTACTCCCATATTATATTTAATTAGATAAAGTTACAAAAACATTACATTACGAGTTTCCCGCCCGCGGCTTCGTAGACATGGCCAAAGAAAAAACGAAGCCTATGTCACTTTCCTGCCTCGAAATATCTTCAGATACAAAAACCACCATAAAAACGCTTCTTGCGGCATAAAAGAAAAGAAACACATTATTACTGACTGATTAATTAATATAATATCTCATTAGTGTCTTTATTTCTTGTGGATATGCGGAGTTCATCATCAGGCAGCTAACCAAACATATACACATTTCCACATTAATAGCATTGACTTATAACTGAAATTAATTACATCAACAGCCTTTCATAAATCACCACGTTTGATCAATGCCGGTTGGCGATTTAAAACATAAAATAAAAAATTATAAGCTCAGGTTTCCTCACTATGTGGTTCCTTCCTTTATCGCTTGTCAGAGGTGTCTAAATAATCTTATAAAGTATTTAATTATAACTTGGAAAAAGTCACATTGATATTTGTCGTTGCTTGGTTTCGAATCTGTGCCCTCGTGAATGAGAAGCTGGCGTCTTAAACTACATATCTTGATCCAAAATCTATGGGTCGATTCCTATTTGTAGACCAAAAACTCCATATAATACATATTAACACACTTATTACACTTATCTTTTCACTGATTTTGGATTGAAAAAGATTTAAACTGAGTTGTTTGGTTTTGGCAGAGTGGTCACGATCGTGGAACGTCATTGGTCCTTGCCACCCTTGTGATTTTCTAAAGGCAGTTTTCCATAATACATATATGCTAAAAATATATCCGAAACTCGGCTTCTACATTGCACTACACAGCAAGTTAATTAAAACGGCCTTGTCCAATTATAATATCCTTCCCACAAAGTATAATATGTAATATGGATATTGATATCAAAATACTTAGTAATAACATGGCGTCTGAAATTATGGACGCTGTTCATCAAAATGCCCACATCAACATTTGTTTATTTACAGTATGTTGCACAATAACAGAGAACAGGCGTAAATCTAGAATAACAGATATACATACATATGTGTTTTGTCTTTTGTGATCATTTTGTAAACAATTTCTGTCTACTAATTTTAACCTTACGTGGGTTTTGTCTCGTGTCTGAAAAAAGATACACCTACACGCCAAAAGAAATTACGAGAAATTATCGATTATTATATTTTATTAGTGATGAGTGTACTAGTATCAATTCATAAGATGAATTTCAGAATTTAGTCTATTCACTTTAACGATGAAAAAGTTTGAAATTACTCTTCGCCACACCCTCCCAAATCGGTTCTGGATCTATTGTAGATCCTGACTATCTATTGTAGATATGATCTAGTAGATATGATCTAGTAGATATGATCTAGTAGATATGATTCAACCATAAAAACATCGAAACACAGCGCGTCTCAGGGACATAAATAACTGTCTTGATTGTCGCAATGAAATAAATTAGAAGGAATTATAAGAGAAGAAAAAAACGATAATTTTCACTTCCCTCGATAAAGTACTGCAGTAGACGGAATAAAGTAAGCCTTTTTGTAAAAATCATCCAATGAATTCTCCTGCCTTGGGTTAGGGAGAACGCCGTAGCGTCTCTCAGTCTACTCCTTAAAGAGGGGACTTACCGTTGCAATGACAGCGAGCCCAGCTCTCGGTTGTGACAGTCGTTGCCGCCATTCCACCATGAGATTGCGCCGGAGCTCATCCCGCCACGCACTAATCTGGCGTGGCAGCAGAGTTTCGTCCAGGTGAAGCGCGTCAGCGCTCAAAACGAAGACGCGTGCAAGTACCTTCGCTTCCAAATCCCACGGCGGAGAACAAATTAAGCCTAAGGACACGAAATGAAACAAATACAATTAGGCAAACATTTAACTAGAGGAAATGCAATCTCATTTTAGCTCTAAGTGTACTTTGCAATATCAACAATGTGCACTATAGAGCACTGTGGTTGATTATCAGCACAAAGACTTGATATATTGCACTTTGACATTGTGTTATAACAGGCGAAGTAGATCAAGATTGTATTGCCTTTTTATCTAGTTACGTCCTGTATTAGGTTGCCAGTTTCGTAAAAAGGCCGACACAGGGTTATGTGGCAAAGAAACTCAATTATCTGACCGACCGAGGGATCTGTGTCAATCCAGCCAGTTCATTTTGGTGTCAGAGGATCTAACTAATAGGAGACCAGGTTTAAAATTACCAATTTTCTTTTTATGCAAAGAAGAGCTAGTTTTGTAAGTTTTGTTAGAAGAATATGTTTACTGATGTTGGAAAGTAAAACCATAAGTTCTTGTGCAGTAATAATATTATGAAATGTTTGAAGTACCACTATGGTTGAAACATTATTAAACATTACATATTTGAAGATTGAAGGGATTCGCCTAAAACCCAGAATAAAAATTGACGGCCTGAAAATCACATTGTACTTACAAAGGTAACGCGACTTTTGTAACCACTACAGTTGGACCAATTATCTCTTTACTATTTCAAAATTTGATAGCATCAGCTGTTGAACACAATATAAAACAGTATTTGATTAGATAAAATTATTATTATTGATTTTTTTCAGTTTCTTTTTTACTCGAACTCTTGTCAAAATTCAGTTCCAACTTTTTAACTGTTGTATAAATACCGAACAAAACTAAAATTTATCCCACTTTTATATACAAATGGTAAAATCGAGTCCAACAGAAAGTCCTCATTACTTATTCAAATAAGTCTGTACCTTAAAGTATTGTGAGCCTTTGCCTTTCATAGTACCGATAAATCATTTTAATTGTTAATGTCGTCATTTATATGCAGAATCTGTAAGTTTTGGTGTAATTTTAGACCCTGGTTTTTGATTGGTGGCCTTATAAAATGGTTTATGTTGATCATAATCAGATTAGGAAGGTCCTGAGTAGACCAAAGGTTAAGGAACTCATTTCGAAAGATTAAAACGAGGAAGGTCTGGCCAATGTAATATCTTAATGGTAATGTGACCAACATCGAATGACAGCTTCCGTCTGGGTGAGGCGGGAAACGTGAATTGCAGAGATTGGGGAGTGGGGTGATTGGGCCTCCGGTAACCTCACACATACGATGAAACACAACACAAGCGGTGTTTCACGGTTTGACCTATTCGTGCCAAAGCATAGCTCTTTCACACTTACAAAAAACGTTGTCATCAGCAACTGTCGTCGACTGCCTCATTGGTCGGGTGGTCGTAAGTGCGACTGCCGGGCAAGGGATCTCGGGTTTGATTCCCGGATCGGGCAAAGTATTACAGGGTTTTTAAAAATTCTCAGTAGTAGCACGGAGTCTGGAATTGTGCCCGGTATATGGCAATAGGCTCACCCCCTATTACATGGGACTCATAACATAAATAGTGAAAAGTGGGTGCTACATTGTACAGTGGCATAATGACCACCTCTGCCTACCCCTTCGGGGATAAAAGGCGTGATGTTATGTTATGTTAATAGTCAGTCAACCTTACGGCAGAATTATACTGATTGGACCAATAGGACTTCACGCCTCACCAGAGACACCTCCTGAGCGTAAAATCAAAAATTCGGATTACTTAGAAACAAAATTAATATCGATAAAGAATGAGTTTTGTAACTTTAACAATGGTATGTTTCAGATTTGAACGCTAAGGACAACTTTGGTAACACCCCACTGCATATCGCTGTTGAAAACATTGCGTTGGATGCTATCGAGTTCTTGCTTCAACAGTAAGTTGAATTTAAGATTTTTATTTGATTTATGAAGGATTAAAATAACATACTGGCATGGTATGTATGTGTAACATAATTATTATACACTACTCCGTTTATGAGACAATGCTTGTACTGATGACGAGGTACTTGGCAGTGGAACTAGTAATTACATTAGCTATACACTAGTATAGTATAGAAAACCACATAATGCACTAGTATTATGTGGTTTTCTACTGAAATTCTAGTATTAACGGTTAAAGTTTGTACCCATTCTCAAACGTCGCATAGACCTGTAATATAAAAATAAGTACCTACCCTAAATGTTAAATTGTAGTAAGCACATAATAAATCATTTTGCGGTTAAAAGACTGATAAATCTTTGTTAGGTGAGCTTTTTTACAAATGCCTTGGGAATGCCTTTTTGTCATCAGTAGCGAGAAATTACTGTTTGCTTTACCTTAATATGACGTCTTATGTTGATCAAAAATAATTGCTTTGTTTATTTACAAACAAACTACACCTAACTAATGATTTGACTCGTTGATTCTTCCTGCACAAAGGCCTGTTTTGCGATTGTTCTATAGTATGACAAGGATTACAGTAATCTAGAGATAGTTTCTGATCGTTTCTGAGATCAAAATAGTAAATAAATACAATTATTGTCTCAACGACTTAATTAAACATTGCAAATATGCTCTTTCACGTCATACACTTAGCCCCTGCCATCTACGGGAAGACAGGTCACTGAAACTAAAAAGTCAATTTCTGATGTTTCATATTTCCCTGTTAAATTCTGGTCAGCAGTGTGTTGTGGTCGCGTCCTGTCCATGATATGATATGACATGACATAGTTAACCTGGTTTCATGTTAGTGCTGTCTTCTCAAAATTTTAGTCTACATTCTAGAACTACTATGACGTCATAGTTCGACATCTTTTTTGGTATCTGTAAAAGTAAATAAACTATTTATCTTTTCTTTTTTTCCTCTTTCTTTCTGTAAAGACGTGTACAAGTTTTAAATGCTATTGTTGTCGGTCCATCTCTTGAATTAGAATCGTTTTCAGTTAGATTAAAGATTTGTTGGTGCTACGTACTTGACAACATTAAACTATCTAATGTTTAGACTGATTTTGAAATATTGAATGCAGCAAATGCGTCTGATATGCTCAGTCTTTAACTGTATGGAGATTTTTGGTTTTGGTGTAAGGTGAATATCGTATTTAGAGTGCAATAGATTAAAACTAAGAGATGGTGCATTGGTCCACTATCAAGATTTTTATTTCCTTTATTTTAACTGAATACTATATATGTATGTATATGAGTAATTTGAGAATAAAAGCAGATCTATTTAATTTTCGAAGCAGTTTGGAAATTGACTTACTGAACATGACTTTGAGTTATATTTTTACTACGAGTACACTCAATACACTTTTCATTTTTTTATAACCAAGTTTAACCATAACCGTAACCTTTGGTTTACAGTCGCGTCGATACCAGCATTTTGAACGACAAGAGTCAAGGTGCTCTTCATCTAGCTACTGAGTTGAATAGGGTAAGTTTTTATTACAAACCTATTTTCATATTCAGTAAGATAAAAGCAGAACTCACTATCAGCAGGATTATGTGAAGGTTTAAAGTAAATTGTCTTCTGGATCATTCGAGCACTTGAAGTGAATCTGTTTTCTTCTGCATTATATCAAGAAAATTGCTTTCCTGTGCATTTCTTCGTTCACTCAACGACTTCAACAGTGTTCTTCTGAAGAAAACATTAAGATTGACTTCTAGGAACAGCAGCGACGCACCTACTTAAAATAAACTTCCAGTGGACATTTTTCCTCAATTACGTTAGAGTTCCATATAATATTTGGCTTCTGGATGTTTAAGATAGTTACTGAAACGAATTTTTACTCTTTCAGGTTTCAGTCCTTCAAACATTCGCGAAGTATAAAGACCAATTCAATGTAGAGCTTGGTGGCGAGCACGGTCGCACGGCGCTTCATTTTGCTGCTATACACGACCATGACATCTGTGCCAAGATACTGGTAACGTATTATACACTACTCTTCAACCGATAGTATGAAATGAAATAACAAAAATTTTCCACAACTTTGTCAAATAACAGAGGCTTTGTTTCCAACTTCCGTAACTTTCCCAAAACATGAGGAAATGATTTCAAAATTGAGTTTATAATTTCTCTTACATAATTAATTTAATAGCCCTTCAGCGTTACCAAAACAGTTTTATATTTATGCTAGTTTAAATCAACACAGATAACAGACTTAGGCGCTGAATGCAAGAGAGCTTGTAACAACGGGTACTATCCCATCCACGAGGCCGCTAAGAACGCGTCCTCGCGGACTATGGAAGTATTCCTCCAGTGGGGAGAGTCTAAAGGTTGCACCAGAGAATCAATGATATCCTTGTACGATAATGAGGGCAATGTGCCCCTGCACTCCGCCGTGCATGGAGGAGACATCAAAGCCGTCGAACTTTGCCTGAAATCCGGAGCAAAGATATCTACACAGCAGTATGATCTGTCTACACCAGTCCATCTGGCTTGTGCTCAGGTAATGAACCACTTTTACTAAAATTCACAAAATTTTAGTTGCATGAACTATGCTACAAGTTTTGCTACACATGTTCCAGGGTGCCCTTGAGATAGTGAAGCTCATGTTTACCATGCAGCCAACAGAGAAGCTTGCTTGCCTAACATCCTGCGATGTACAGAAGATGACTCCGGTGCACTGCGCTGCGATGTTCGACCACCCTGACATCGTAAACTATTTGATTAGTGAGGGTTCTGACATCAACCCTCTGGATAAGGAGCGCAGGTCACCGCTGCTGTTAGCTGCTTCCAGGGCCGGTTGGAGGACCGTACAAACCCTGGTAAGTTACTATAATTCTCAAACAAATATTTTATAGTAGGTATTGACAATTCTCGATAGTATTGAAAGAGTTGGTGTCTAAAAATAGGCGCTAAGGCTCTTTATCCTTTTTACATTGTACTCATGTGGGTGGTTCAATACTACAGTCTCTATAATAATGTCACGATCAACTGTTACTATGTGAAAATTGTTACCTGAAATCTCACTACCCCTGATTTATATTCCAACAGAACTTTCAATGATAACATAAAGTTTTTATAAACTGTTTATGAACTGATCTATACTACTACGTACGTACGGCGTACTACGACTATTGAAGTATGATAATGATAATACTTATCATCAACAGCCCATATGCTAGTAGACTATGTGCTCCCACTATATTCTAGGATTTGCCACAATTTTTATACTTGGAGATAGCAATTTCAAATATTTAGGTTTATTAAGTTTAAAGGGTAGTTCTATAATCGACTCCAACAGACATACAGCATAGTGACAAATTTAATGTACAGTCTACTAAACGGCCAATGACACATACATTTACATATTATTATAACACTCGCTGTGTCTGTAGAATAAGGGCCGTTTTTCCAACACCATATAAAATCAAAGGAAGAACTGAATATTTGACAATTTTTCCATGCTAAAAACTGTCAAATGTCAATTTTATTCTACAGTTAAAAATTACCTATTGTTTGGTAAATCGGCCCTAAATATAGCTATTCAACAGTCGACAAATGTGTAGAATCCTTCATGTGGCCTCAAAGACACTTCTCAATTCTAACAAATGAATGTTGCATTCGGCTACACATGCTCCATACATCGTGACGTTCCTCATTTGTTATTAGATCCACGGAAACGAATACTAAGCACGTTTCGCATCCATTTTGTTTCCAAACTTGCCGAAAGCGAGTGACGAAGAAGTTTATGGTTTTTCTTACCCGTAAAATGATGTTGGTTCAGATGTTTTATCGAAGAATTTCGTATTATAGTTTCTTATTTTAACGCAATCTTTGTAAACATGTTACATTTCTATACTAGACCGATGTGTATCCTCTTTGTATGAGAAAAATCTGTTTCCAAGCTGGTAACACAAAAACGTGTTAATGTATAGATCTTAAAAATTCTATGAAATAATTCAATAATAGTATTGTCAAATTACTCTCCACACTCCCACGCTTATGTTTGTATCTTTGGTTACATGTTAGGACTATGGTCCTGTTATACAACTGACGAGCGACTGGGAGTATCAAACAAGTATTCTTAATTAATTGGGAAGTAAAGCGTGCAAACACTGTCTTTGGGTATTTAATTATAAATAGAAATGTAACATCAAGGTCACAGCAGTGTAACCAGCTGTTAATAAGTTGTACTACTGATTGTGTATGTATGCTATATTAAGTTGAGGCAAATAAGTACATTCTCTCGTAGTACCTTTGTCGTACTTACCATGAGGAAGATGAGACATCTTCATCTTCCATGGCGGTGCAACCAGTCGCGCCTCTGTGACGGCCGTACAGCCATAGTAATTAGTGGTGGCGCGACCAGCGTGGATGAGCGACTAATAACATTCTGTGCTAGTCTCGGAACTCGTCGCGCCACCAAATAGTTTGCACAATCAATTGGACATCAGGTGGTTAACTCTGTATAGAGTTGCATATAATTTGTGGTAGCGGTGAATGGTTGCGCTGCCATGGTGTCTCGGTTAAGTTTAGCCTTTTTTAAGTGAGAGTGTCTTCGTCCTCCCCAGATAAAGTAATTGTGTCGCGGGTATTGCAGATGTAGAATCATTTATAAGATTTCATTATTTCATTTCATTACCATATTTGAAGTTTATTATCCTCAAGTCTCCCAACACTAAAAATTAACGACTAGTTTATACTATCGAGATTGCAGAAAAGTTCATTAACCTCATCAAGAGAGAAAAAAGTACAACATAAAAAATAATGTCGTTACCTCATTTTATAGACCTCTTTCTTTAGAATTCGATACGCTTTTCAGATTCGTCTGGGCGCTGACATCGAGCTCAAGGATATAAACTCCAGGAACGTGCTCCATCTTGTCGTGATGAACGGAGGCAGACTCGAAGAGTTCGCAGCTACGTGCAAGGTCAGTTCTCATACCACTTTTAGTAACTTCATGTCCGTGTGAAAATCGATTTTGAATTTTTAATCGATTCTTCTTTGTTAATCAACTCTGTCCACAGGTTGACTTAGAAAACATAAAACAGAATATTAGTTTTCTACACTAAGATAGTTATTTTTCGGTAATAACCACATTTTAGTAGATAATATTCTTTTACTTCAAATAGGTACGTTAGATTAATCCCGACAATTTTCCTCAATCTTCAGATACTCTCCTAACGTTTGAAAAAATGTCCGTCACGCAGTTAAACTTACCTTTCTGTATTACTATGTTATCAAGTAACGATGAACCCGCTTGATTGGGTTAATCCATTGGGGATAAGATGACTTAACCTTACATAACCAGTCCTTCGCAGTATCCATTACCTCCCACAAAGTTAGAACGATTGACCGAACTGGATAACTCATTAAAGTTCTTCAAGTAACTTACATAATATCTTCGTAATAATCACATTTATATTTGTTACAGTTTTTATATTGTGTTGATTATAAAAATTGTTTTAATTATCTTGATCCAGGTATCGTTTTATCAGAACTATTAAGCGTAAAGTAGATACATTGAGGACATTTTCGATATTCAGATTTTAGCGACGTAAATTCAAATTTCAAGCAATTCCAATTAAAATCTACAGTGACTTGATTTTTTTTATCAAATTGGTGGGTGCATCGTTTTTATTCACTTTATTATGTCTGCTATGCTATTTACTGTTGTACAATTCAGCCCTACTTACGTACTTATACTTACGCATCCATCGGTTGCTCAGAATTCATTGTTATTTACAGTAATTTTGTATTTTAGCTGTCAAAAGTAATTAATTTTGTGCACTCGTAAATTAAAATATTGTTTCGGTTTTTTCTAATTGTAAAATAATAACACCTATTAGCATTTTATTAAAACACTGTTTGCATGCTTTCGAATAGTATTCAAATAAAATTCATTAATTTTAATGATCTTATATTGTTTCATTACTTCAATCCTGCTTTCAATTGTTTTTCTAAAACATTTTTCGTGTTGTTTATATTGCTATTTTTTTTGCATAATTTTCTACATCCTGTGTAATTACTAACCGAATTTCATGACACCATGTTCCACTAAACAGTCCACGTTACAGAATCGCTGTGAGAAGAGTCTCGCACAGCTTCTGAATGAAAAGGACAGCGCTGGCTGCTCACCACTTCACTACGCCAGCCGCGAAGGTCACATCAGGTCCCTGGAGAACCTCATTCGTCTTGGTGCTTGCATCAACTTGAAGAACAACAACAATGAGAGTCCCTTGCACTTTGCTGCCAGGTACGTGAGTGTCTGATTAGATAGGATCTGGACTTATTATTCACTAGCTTTTACCCGCGGCTTCACTCGCGTCACAAAAGGATAAAAAGCCAATGTGACATATACCAATACACACAGCGCCATCTATACCAATACTTTTATTTTTCCTCGGGAATATCAAATTTTTCCGGGATAAAAAGTACCCTATTATTTGATCCGGACTTCTTACTATACGTCTGAAAAATTCAAAGCAATCGGTTTAGTAGTTACGGCGTTACAGTGGAACAAACAAACAAACAAACTCACTTTCCGATTTATAATATAAGTAAGGATAATATGAACGTATTCCTACGAAATGCGAACCCTATTTTCTTCTTTAGCCTTTAACTGTTCATTCGAACTGTGTACCGCCACCTCTGTACCACCACTGCTAAGATTTGACGAGACATCGGTCAAAAAGTCAATTCCATTTATTTCAAATACATCAGAAATTTTGTTTTGAACGTCAAACAAATATTAAAATATTAAAAATGTCAATCTGTTAGTCAATCCTCTAGTGAAGCAAGTGTAGATTCCTTATGGAGAAGAACAAACAAGAAACTCCATAAGCTACCCTTTAGAAACTCCTTAAGCTACTCTTTAGAAACTCCATAAGCTACTCTTTTTAAATCAGGTTCACTATACAATTCCTGATTATATCGTTTCGTCATTCAATTATGTGATAACTATGCAACACCAACAATACCAACATTCAGCCAAAGAGATAGATAGAGAAACACACTTACTGCGAAAAACACATCAACACTCTTTTCAGATTTGAAAGACTACGAAACGTTGTGCAACCCAAATATAGACAAGGTCAGCGATCCTGATAGAATTCTGACCAAGATAAGTGCTAAATTAAAAATTGATGACCCCAACTGTTCTGACATGCCTATTTCGGTTATCTACGAAACTTGGTAGAGCGTCGATAGTACAATGTGCATGAACCATGCGATGTCAGCTTCTACAAGCTGGCGCACAAAAAAGCAGCATGACTAAAAAGGCAGTCAGGCCAATCTTAAGATTACATTCTATCTCGGTTCCAATCTAACTGTGAAAGTGCCCTAAACGGCGACGACTCGGCTAAATATCAGCTAGACGCGTTGGAGCATATTAAAAGGCGTGCCAGAAGGCTCATCACCGATGATGCGCTTGTGGCAGTCTGGCATCCTAGGTTTTTTAAGAAAAACTGCCAACAAATACAACTCTCTGTCAGAGCTGATGTTTTGTGGGCTTTGATATACCTGGATTTCTTCAACGCCGGAGTGAATAGGCTGATTATAGGCTGGCGTAATCCTTCACACGCCGCTTAATTGCTTTCCACTGGATGAGATAGTACTCAAACGCTGGTCTCCCAACAATAAAAAATAAAAGATCCAAGTGACAAAAACATTCACGTTTACAGATATGGGCGCTACCACACCGCTTGCCAGCTGCTTGACTCTGACAAAGGAACGTTCATCATCAACGAGAGTGATGGCGAGGGGCTGACACCGCTCCACATCGCCTCTCGTGAAGGTCACACGAGAGTCGTGCATTTACTGCTGAACCGTGGTGCATTGCTGCACCGAGACCACAATGGACGCAATCCATTGCACCTGGCCGCTATGTCTGGATACACCCAGACGATTGAACTGCTACATTCCGTACATTCCCATCTGCTGGACCAGTCTGATAAAGATGGGGTACGTTGATTTTGATTTTTTCTTTAAAATTTAACAAAATGTGCTTTTAAATATTAGGTAACCAAAGTTGTTTGTACTTATTCTTACCCGAAATTGCTGTCATCATCAGTGTGATACCTTTTCGCCATTTCAAAAAGACTGATATAACATTATGATCTAAATTATTATTTGTCCGATGGAAATCATGCCCCTCAGCCGTTGTTTGCGGTGTAATAAAAGATATGCAGGCCCCGCCTCCAAAAATCTCATCATATTTTTCTTAATTCAAAGCGCTAAGTGGCTAGGATTTGGATGCTTAACTTAAATTAAAGTAAACATTTTCAGAACACCCCATTGCATCTGGCTACTATGGAAAACAAGCCTAACTCCATAGCTCTTCTCCTGTCCATGGGTTGCCGTCTGAGTTATAACAACCTGGATATGAGCGCCATTGACTACGCTATCTACTACAAGTTCCCAGAGGCGGCTCTCGCTATGGTCACCCACGAGCACCGGTAAGCTTCTGTTCATTGTAACTTATTCTCTTCTCAGCGCATGAACATCTATTCTGACCACAATATCATCGGCAAACCGCAGGTGAGTGATTTACTTGTGTTGATGTTTATAGCAAATCCTTATCATTCCAAAAGTTTGAAGGCGTCTTCCAATGCAGCAGCTAACAGTTTCGGAGATATGAGACTGGGTAGAGACCCAGTCTCGTATCTCCGAAACTGTGAGAGCATGAAGGCTACTCCTCTATCTCTATAGAGGAGTAGCCTTCATGCTCTGTTCCAGGACTTTGACTGACATGATGACACATGGTGTTAATTCAAATAGTCTCTTGTTGTCTGACTGTAGCACTCTCCACCTGATTAGGTTGAAGACTGGAGCCTTACCTGTCTTTAGAGAACGGACTGTTTTATGTCGAGAATTCGTGGTGGTGGGGAATTAACATGAAAGGCATCAGGTGCCGATGGTAATAAGCAGAGCTGACCTTCATTGGATTCTTTATCATCGCAGTGCCAGCGGTAAGACCATTCTTTCCTCAAAAAATAGTCTTACCGCTGATAAGACCTGGCTAGAGATCTTCCACCTGACCCGGCTCGAAGCAAAAGTTGAAATGGTATGGTTCAGACCTCAACTGGAGCTGGACTAGTCATTTAATGATTCCCCTCCTCAAAAAACTCCTTGTCAGCCCTGTATGTTTTTAATTTCTCCCATGACGACGTCGATATCTGCCTTTTTTTGTTTTTTTAATGGTGCCGAAGCCTCGGTAGCCTTTTACGTTCTCTCTACGTTCTCGTAGCTCTTTGAGGCGCGTACGCTCTGGTTCTGGTCGGATGGCGAGCTACCCATGCTCGCCATCCACAGGCCCGTGCAGCCCACGCAGGGCATGTCCCTACCGCCTGTTTCACCATGTCTTCGGGGCGGTCCTCACAGTGGGGACACCCAGGCGTTTTCTCCCGCCCTCAGACACAGGTACCTCGCGAAGCTCCCATGTCCAATGAGGACCTGCGTGAGGACGTCGAGCGTCTCTCAAGCCACTCCTCAAAGAGGGGACTTACCGCTGCAATAGCAGCGATAGCACTGGATGATCGAATTTGAGGGTCATTTTAATCTTGTACTTACAGCATAATATCCTGGATATTCTTGATACATGTAGAGTTCGGGACTGTCGGGTGAGCTTAACTCTAAGATCTGCGTCTGAAGTAACGGGCTTAGTCACCAACACTTATAACTCGCTATTTTTATAGCCAGTTATAACCTTTGAATGTCCCTCCAGTCACATTCACAATGGCAAATACCAAGCATTATATCTTACTATTACAGGGCTAAGGAGGTGATGGCGTTGCGTTCTGATCGTCATCCTTGCGTGACTCTCGCCCTCATTGCTTATATGCCTCGAGTCTTCGAAGCTGTGCAGGACAAATGCATCACCAAGGCTAACTGCAAGAAGGACTCCAAAAGCTTCTATGTATGTTTAAAAACTAATACATGGTGTGATTATGATATTCAAAGAAAATTATTTGAAACAATTTAAGTCCAAACAATTTGTTGATCAGGATCAGCATCCACAAATTGTCAATTCTCTATTATTATTGTAAAAGCTAGGGTATATCCCAAAGTGAATTTCGAAACTTGAAAAGACCATTTGATTTTTGAAACGTTTGCTTATTACTTTCCTAACTGTGAGTAGGTTAAATCTTACTTCGCTTCTAAATGGAGATAATTTATGAACACTAGTTAGGTAAGAATCTAAATATGTTTAACTAGATAGGATATTATGTTCTAGTGTTCTGATATTTCGTCAACCTAATCTATTTGAATAACTTATTTAGATAAAGTATAGCTTCGATGCCCTGTGTCCACAACTTAAAATGGAAGATGGCAATAACGTTCGTCGGAAATCGGAGAACGTGCCAAAATCCCAGAACATACCTTTACCTGCCCTGAATGTGAGTTTGTACTTGTACTTCATATCAATTATACAACTTTTTTTTCATTTGCTGCATCGCAGATTAAGTATTCTTTCAAATTCTACCAACGGTCGAAGCTTGAAGTCGACGCATTAAGACTGGCCCTTAATGACCCCAAGTATCGGCCAGAACCGTTGTGTGTTATCAACGTGAGTCAAAACTCTTAGCGGAGTGGTGCCTTGCTTACGCCTGAATTCTGAAAGGCTACTTCATTTTAAATTGTACTTAAATATCGTGCCATCTCTGTCATTTTACAAAGAATTTGTAGAGACAGAACTATTGGTACTTAAGCGCGACTTAAAATTAAGTGGCGTTTCACTATTTGGGCATTATACTCACAACTTACATGCCGGAATGTTTGGTGCTAACGATGTTCTCTTGAAAAACTAAATTAAAAATAGATATTACCTGAAGACTTGAAGTGTTTTAAATAAATTAATAGTTTTAGTCACTGCGACACTACGGATAGATTTTTCCAGAGAAATACAATTCCAAAGACACTTTTCTTAACTGTATTTTAAAACAGCACACAAAACAAAGCATCAAGTTCCTGGCATATGTCCAATACACAGCAACACACGACGCTTTCACTAACCTTACACTATTTGTTTAGGTGGAGGTTTTTGTTAATAAGTTCGCTTTGTTTAATATTTTTGTTTTTGTAAATAAATCTAAAACTCACCGCAAAAAATTAAGCACAATTTGTGACATTACTGTGATGAACATTCGATGATGTTTTTAATAACTGATGCTATTCTACAAATTGTATCATGGACTATTTTTTTTCTAACTTTAATCATCGATTCTTCATCGTACATCGTACTAAATTCGTCAAACCAATCTTGTGCTCTATCAATTTCAGGCTATGGTTGCTCACGGACGGGTAGAGTTGTTGGCCCATCCATTGAGTCAGAAATATCTGCAAATGAAATGGCACAGCTACGGCAAATACTTTCACCTGGCGAACCTTTTGTTCTATTGCATCTTCTTGATCTTTGTAACCGTGTACACGTATTTACTGATGGGTAACTCCGAAAATTATGGACCGACAAAGAAAGCTGCCAAATGTAACGTATCTGACCCCATGAGCTTTGACCGTGAGAACAAAACCGAAAAAAATATTGTTTTTAATCCTGGTAAGTATCACTTCATATTTTTGGAATAAGTTGGCAGCAGATGATAAGGAATAGGTGCCAGTCATAGTATGTACACCAGCAATAGTGGAGGAAACGCAAAACTATCCTCAATAAAACTATGAAGCACAATGCAATTGTTATTGTTGTTACGCTGGATTTGTGTAAGGCCATAGTATCACTCCGGTGATACATTCGTGGTGATACATTCGCTGGCACATTCGTGCTAAAGCAACGTTGTCGTCGCGCTTATCGGTTAGACAAAGGGTTTAGTATACATTGAAGTAACAGAAAAATCTCTAGATCTATCATTCCCCCTTTTTTAATAATAATAATGCTAGAATAGACATTGAATACTATCTCAATAAACAAGTAATTAAATTAAATCTCAGATAATGAGTGTGTACCGAATATATTTTCATTATAATCTTTACGATTACAGATTTTGAGTCGAAAGTGGCAATGTATACAAGTACGGTGGCTATATTAGCGTATAACGCCATATGTTTGATAAGAGAGGCATACAACGTTAAACAGCAAAAATGGCATTACCTGGTGGACCCATCCAACTTGGTATCCTGGCTCCTGTACATTAGCTCGACTCTGATGGTTATCCCGACAATATGCAAATATTTTGACGAGATTCAGGTTAGTCCCAAAATTACACATGGTCTTATAACTTTTTCTTGAGGGGGTAAACTCCGTTCCAACTCCTGTTTGTTGCAAAGGAATTCGAGGATTGAGGAATTTTGGAATTGAGGGGTTTCCGGTAATCTCACTTACACGATGAAACACATCGCAAGAGTTGTTTCGTGTGGTTTTCTGGGCCTTAGTATCACTCTGGTTGAGCCAGCCCATTCGTGCCATAACATGGCTATCCCACACTTGAAACGTTAAAAACATGTTATTGATAAAATAAAAATATTTTTATTAAAAAATTTTAATAAAAAATATTTATGGTATTTTATAAATACCATTTAATTATTTTGACTGTTTCATTGGCCGAGTGGTCGCAAGTGCGACTGCCGAGCAAGAGGTCTCGGGTTCGATTCCCGGGTCGAGCAAAGTATTACTGGGTTTTTAAAAAAATCACAGTAGTAGCACAGAGTTTGGAATTGTGCCCGGTGTATGGCAATAGGCTCACCCCCTATTACATGGGACTCATAACATAAATAGGGAAAGTGGGTGTTACATTGTACAGTGGCATAATGTGCACCTCTGGCTACCCCTTTGGGGATAAAAGGCGTGATGTTATGTTATTTTAAATGTTGAATAAAGACAAAATATGAATATGATGTTTACTGTGTTTCAGTTCTCGGCTGCGTCAATAACTGTATTTCTGTCGTGGTTTGAGCTGCTTCTGCTACTCCAACGGTTTGATCAAGTTGGAATCTATGTTGTCATGTTCCTCGAAATACTTCAGACCCTGATAAAAGTATTGATGGTGTTTTCAATCCTGATCATCGCATTCGGAATGGCGTTTTATATTCTCCTGTCTAAAGTGGGTCCTGACGAGACGGTATTTATGTATATTGCTATTTTTGTAGTTTGTTGGTAAGATTAAAATTATAAAGAATACTGAACGAAAGTTACCACTGCTAACGCTATTGCACTATTTATAGTAAATAATAGTGTTAGCAAACTACCCCAATATATCTAGTCTACGAAAAGGTAAGTGAATCTGTGGTAACTTGCACTTTGAGAGGTAAATAGCACAGCGCTATTCAAACCACCTTTTGTGCACAGGGTTGTGGTTTCAATTACCTACCGTACTCATCAATGTTTGTATAGCACACACTTGTGCGGACTCTTAATGTTTGTGTATGTGATTTTTACTGTGATGGTGTCCTCAACAAAATGTGTTACTGTGAATCTTTGAGTGTGTATCGTTTGTCAAAAATGTTACTAAAATTACTTCTCCCGCTAGCGTTCATGACGTCATGAAATTATCCCACCCCTAATTGGCACTATTCACGATTTGCGATTTTACTTCAAAAATACATAAAACGCACGTAATGCGAAAATACTCTCACTGTTATAGAAGTTGCTTTTACACTAACAAAGTTGAATGGTGTGAATGGTAGAAAATGTCACCAAATTCCACGCTGACGCGACTCTGCTCTGCGTATTCATAATTGGAACCAATTGCTGACCTATGCTTTTTCCAGGGACACCACTTGTCGTTTAATAGCATACCAATGTCTCTCATGAGGACTTTTGCAATGATGCTTGGAGAATTGGACTTCGTCGGCACTTACGTTCAGCCCTATTACAAATCTGAGACAGATATTCTGCTGCCGTTCCCAATGCCTACGTTTTTCATACTCGGTATATTCATGGTCCTGATGCCCATTTTGCTGATGAACTTGCTGATCGGTTTGGCTGTAGGAGACATTGAGAGTGTGAGGCGCAATGCCCAGTTGAAACGGCTGGCCATGCAGGTAATGTGTTGATTGGATTTATTTATATTTACGTTATGAATTCGTGCAAACTGGTAAGTTCCTCAGAGGTCATTTCAAACACAAAACATAAAGTGCGGACTAAGACAAAAAAGAATTTACGAAGCAAATCAAAAGGCATATCCTTTCTTGAAATTGTAGTTGATATTCACATAAAAAAGTAGTAAAGAACTGCAGTATACTAGACGTAATTGATAGAATGACATAGAAATTAATGTTGTGGGTGATCCTGTAATTTACAATATAGTCAATATGTAAAAACCTTCTAGTTAATAGACTATTTTTACAGTTTCAATTGTATACTTCCAGGTCGTTCTTCACACTGAACTTGAACGCAAACTACCAGCCATACTTCTGGAAAAAGTGGACAAAGATGAACTGATTGAATACCCGAACAACAAAAAATGCAAACTCGGCTTCTTGGACCTAATCCTTCGCAAATGGTTCTGCAACCCCTTCACTGATGATGGTATGTTAATTTAAGCATCTTAATGCAAATCTTTGGCGAATGTGCTTGTTGTATGCGAAAAGAAGTGCTGAAGATGCATCTAAATTATAATATTCAAAATTGGCGAAATCACATTTTATACCATTGGCATTTTGATTGTATCTTTTTTTCAAAATTTGTTTTTTTATGTTCTAATTATTGGTAGTACCTATATAACTTGGAAAGATGAAACATGAAAGTGGCGTTGTTCTGCTAGCAGATATATTCTTCTTCTAAACTCTTTGCTGGGACTAAATTTACAGCTGGCCTTGACTTGGTGCTGGAAAGCAGTGAGGATTACATAACTGCTGAACTGGAGAAGCAGAAACGTAAATTACGTGACATATCAATGGTACTGGAGCAACAGCATACGCTTGTGCGTCTGATTGTGCAGGTCTGTTTTTTTCTTTCTTTTATTTCTTCTGATATTGTAACCAAGCAATTTAGCAACCTTTTGTTTGAGTTTGAGCTACTGGCAGGTTTCGGTGCTTCTGAGGTTCGAATATGTGATTTACTGAACATATACTAGCGGATCTGATAGACGTTGTCTTGCATATCCACTTGAATGTATAAACAAAAATTCATTCAAATTAGTTTAGCCGTTTTTAATATTTAACCTTAAAACCGACTGCAGCGCCATCTACCGGGCTGATTTGTGAATCTAAATCATACAGGGCGCCACTCAAACGCGTACAGAAAAATTCATTTCGGTCAACCCGTTTAGGAGGAATTCAATGACATATACACGTACAGCAGAATTATATATATAAAGATAATGATGATAGTTAACGATTTTCAGTTGAAGATTGATATAGATTGTAGATCCATCGTAAAGAAACCTGAGCTTATACGTAATCTGGGCTTGGGATCATAAAAATTTATGAGTTTGAAATCCCATACGCAAACCGCATTGAACAAGCGTGGTAATTAATGCTCAAACCTTTTCCTGAAATGAAAAGAGGCCTTTGGTCAGCGGTGGCTACACAGGAGGTTGCACTTGAGGAGGCGCGGACCTCCTCTGCCAGATCAGCTGGTGACAGTACATAATTCACTGCTTGACTGTAGAGTCGAGCAAGGAATTGATCAATTTATCATGTTAAATACCTGGAATTAAATAATTTTCCTATTAAGCTGGACCAGTTGCGTACAAAAATTGAATTTCATATATCAACATTCAAAATAGTTCAAATCTTTTAATAAAACATTCATCTTATTCTACGTAGAACAATACATGGGTAATACATATGTCTAATCTTTATTTAACATACATGACTAACATTTTCAGAAAATGGAAATCAAGACCGAAGCTGATGATGTGGACGAAGGCGTTTCTCCCGGTGATACTCGAGTGATCCCTCGCTGGAGCTCACCGAGGATCCGCAAGAAGCTGCGCACTGCTTCTTCTTTCAACAAAGGTGGCTAGACATCACGATCAAACCCATTGCACTATAGGTATACTAAATTTGTAAAGTCTAAGATCTCACGACAAGGTTTTTGCTCTTAACAAGACCACGGCAAGAATTTGCTGTTAACAACGACCCAAAATACAAATTGACTGATCCTTGATTTTCCGCCTGTTCTTGTCATTTACCATCAAGACGATAACTGCAAAAACCGTGTAATTGGATCTTAAACTATTATCTATTAATCCATTATTGTAAGTTACACTTATGTTCTTATTTATTGCTATTTTTATATTCACTGTTTCTAATACTTCTTGGGTTAGTACTTAAATATTTATGTCCCTATCTAAAAACTAAACGTTAGCTAAGAATAATATGATATCAAAAATGAATTAGTGTCTCGAATTTATTGTTGTAGTTTCAAAATAATATTACACGTAAGATTGAATGTCAGTAGTTCCATATTCTATATGTTATTATTATCATACTTGATTGACAGCTTATAACCTTTTGTTATTAAACTGGTTCTTGAAAGATATTGACATTACGTCAAAATCAAAATATATTCTGTCCTGCAGCTGTAGCCAAATGCCATTTAGCGCTTGTCTACTTGTAGAATAGAAAACCAAATTATATTGAATTGACGTAAATTTTGACACTTGTTAGTGTCATCCCCATACATTTAGTTATCTACTCTACAAGTAGACAAGCGCTAAAGTGGCTTTTGGCTAGAGGCTCTGTGATTGGTTGACTGTCTTTTGGTCAACTGATCATATTAGTTCATGTTGATGACAGCAAATTCAGTTGACAAACGTTACAAATAGTCAAAATTCCATGTATTTTCTATTACAAACAATTATAGACACTTATTTCAACAAGATCTTATTTTACAAGCTTTCCTTTTTCAGTTTAGAATTCTTTTTCTGTTTTTTTTTATTGCTATAAAACCCCATAGCCTTTTTTTAGGGCTGTCACCGACTTAGCTCTAAAATTAAATTATCATTACTTATAAATGTTTCGGAAATAAGATTTTATGCTAGCATATGTAGCTGTAAAAGCGATTAGCGCATAATTTTTTCGGCCTACCTACATAAAGCGTTGGTCCGATGATAATGGTTAGGATATATTAAATTACATTATATTATATGACATTATAATATGGCACACGCCCAATCGATGTAATTTAGAAAGATAATATCATAAATGTTAGATAAGAACTATTATTATAACCGTTTTAAAGTACTTATATATAATTACGATCTACCCAATAAGTGTAATAATCATTATATTATACTATATCCATAACTTATAGATAGTTTCATAACTTAAGTAGATGTTCTTACATCCACGTATTTTACAATAATTCCGATGTTAGTAGGTATATATATATATACAGCCTATACTAGCCTATATATTTGGGTTATTCTCGGAAATGACTGTGCGTTGAATGCGTTCTAAGGGAAGATTTAGATATATAAAGAATATATATTTAACATGCGGGTGTTAGGACCGACCGCTAGACCAATGAGTAGGGAAAGCTGGTCCAAGTTGCAACTGGTCGATTTCGCAAGGACATGTATAATTATACATTTAAACATATTTACAAAAAAAATTAAATCTAGTCTTTTTATACCAAATACGTAGTGTTTCCGTTAAAAAACATGTTATTTCTAGCATAATAATTATCATATTTTATATTTTTAATTATTTTTACGTTGAGCTGGACTCATATTTTATTCATTTGAAATATTTTATATTCAATGTTATGTTTTAATTTATTACATATTTTAAACTTAAATGAACGTGCAATTAAGATTTTTTAACATTAGAAGTCTTTGAACGGCCGTTTACATTCTGCGAGTGGCTCACTGTAATTAAAAAATTAAATAATTGCTAACAAACCTTTCGAATAACTTTACACGCATTACTTACACATAGATAACTAATCTTTATTTTTATCTAGGATGTATTAACAGTATAAAACATGATGTCAATACTTTTATGTTCACATAATACATAAAACCACTCGCATTTAACGAAATGACACAAGGTCTGAAGTAATATATAACGTTTATATTATGTAAGTACAAGCTTTACTGGAGAGCAAAGCTCTTATATAATATTACAATCGACTAAGAAAGAAGTTCGCGACTTCTTACGACCATACATTGTATGAAAATTTTTAACGAAATATTTATGTATAATTTGATATATACAATTTATCGGTAGTATTTGTACGTAATTTTTATAAGAACGGTTAGCGGTGGTACCATCCTAGTTGACTTTATTTCGACAGTAGATGCTTCGAAAACAATTCAGGTAATTTCTAACTAACTTCCATTAAAATGTGTACTGTAGTTCACGCTAAGATATACCTACCAGCTTTTCCGCTTACATTATGAATCTATATTAAAATAAAACATATTACCATAGTTAAAATGTAATCAAAAATATTAAAATTGTTATGGAAATGATCTCCTAAACGGAGAATGAACTCCCTTCGTGCTATTAAACTGTACATTATTCTTTCTAGTTCAACAAGTGAGACTAGGTTGGTAGTGCCTATAAAGATGTGTATTTTTGGACGAACGTGTTTTAAAAACATGTTAGATGTTTTGAATAATGTTGTTAAGAGCTTGGATCGCGTAAACGCACGTAGGATAAGTAATGAGGCCAGTCCATTGAGGCTTAGACCTCGAGAGTATCGAGAAGAGAGGCCACATTTTGTTATACATACATATATAAAGCTATCTGTATAATCTAAGGTAACACAACTGTAGCTAGATACGTGTAATAATGATTATAAACGCATTTATGGGCATGATAACCAAACATAGTAAGAAGAATAACCCGATTCTAGACACCCCGTAAAAGTATACCAAATAGTATATATTGGTGTGATTTCTATGTAATATCATAGAATAATAAGATAACTTCTGATATCAATGTCATAGTTGCCACCCCGGCCATAGTCTCGATCATGTAACAAAATACTTGATGTTACTTTTTTGGAAATAAATTCTTTTCAACATAGATAGATGTAAGTTGTTGTTTATTTGTATGTCCTTGCCTTATTTTGTCCTCTCATTAGTCTATAAGATCGTATTCTAGTGTTTAATTACTGTGTAGGTTTGTATTTCGGAATACTTTTTCATGAAAAAGTTGCTTCACCGAAAAATCTTAGTCATTTTAGCAAACAATAACAATGTATCTAATAATTCTGCGCAGTCTGTCATTATTTGATTGGTATAGTTCTCTACAAGACACAGCCTTGATAATAAGATATTTTTAACCTAAAAAAAGAGCGTATATTTAAATTTTAATTACTTTTTGTATGACGCTTATGATCAGAGTGAGTACTAAGCGCGGGAAATAATTCAAATATCAGTCACTTCCGCTCTTATGACACTTGATTTCGTTCATTCATTTTGACATTTAAGGGCAATGACCTGGGTCTAACGTCAACATTAGTTCCAAAAAACTACACACAGATGGCGTAACAAATGTGTTTTGAGCGTTGCATCCATTGCATCCCTCTCGAATCCTTACTTATTGATTTTGTCATGCGCAGTAGCGTTCCTGCGCGGTCTGCGTTAAAAGCAAATAGAACATTCTAGAACGTCTATAAATATAAAAAGAATGTCTATATCAAATCACTGCATCGATGTAATGTTATGATTTTGAACATTTTTCTTTGTTTCTAAAATATGAAGGTTTTTAGAAAATTATTTTCGAACGATAGTCTCAGTGACATTGACATTAGAAAAAAGACGGTGTCATTGTTTTGTGACATTCCTGTCATTGGGTAAAGATTCTAATTTGGAAGAACATTCCTTACTTTAAATGAAAACTTATAACTTAGTCTACAACGTTTAATGTAACAGTTTATCAAAATACAGTTTTCCTTTGTTCGTACCAATAACGTCTTTGAAACTCTTCAATGTTTTTTTGTCTTGAGAATCTGTGGTTAATTTCTGTCAGATGATTCTTGCAAAAGGTTCGTCTTGCTAGGTGGCGTGACTTTAGCTTATAAGAAGAGATAGTCTTCTGTTGAGCTTTTTCACAAATAGATTGAGTTCGGTACTAATATGTACAAAATTATTTGACCCACAATCTTTAATCGATTAAAGATTATATGAGGAAGCGTTAACAACGGTAGCCCAAACGCTAGTTTCTGAGAATTTCAGATTGTTAAACGTAATTACTTTGACCGGAAAAGGTGTGAAGCACAAAACCACGTGGTCGGTATGATCATCATGTTTGCAATGTTGCTTTCTGGACAACAGTCCCACAATAACTTTAAAATCTGGAACTCGTTCTAAAAAGTTAAAGGAATAAAATACAAAAGGTACCTAATAATAGTTTCTTCAATCGACCTAACCCAGATTTGAAGTAGTAGTCTGCAGTAATAGAGATTAAGCTGTTTCATTTTAACTAAGTCTAAGTAGTATATCATACATCTAATTCGAGACAAAACAATAACTCTTTGTTCTATGGTTCCAAACACAAAGGAGTAAATACTAAATCAATATTAACTTTTCATCTTCGTTATCGAGATGCATCCAATTTGCGAGCCCTGCGATAGCCCCACCTGTATTGATCGAAATATTGTAAAGCTCCATCCCTCAGCCAGACAGTTAGGCTAGGAGCTAGGATGTAAATATTCGCTATTTATTTTTAATTACAATTTTGTTTTAAGTTGGTTTTTTAGATTTAGTTTAATGTAGTATTTAGTGTCATTTTGGTGTGGGAAAAGGTCTTCCTCAGCAGTAAAACGAGTCCAGTTTACATAAATGTTAATACACTACAACACTATTTTGTAATTGTTGACGATTCAAAAATAACAAATTATAGTTTCATTGAAATAAATGCTTTGACTTGGAATGATTCAAAATGAGAAAGCATTTACGTCGTTTGATTGTAGCTATTGTTTTGGGTATCCTGATACAAACGTTTACAAATTCTGACCCAATAATTTAATTTGATGGCAACACTTTTCTTTTCTGTGGTTGACACGACTACTCTTCACGAGTAATTTCCTGAAGAGCCAAGTATCCAAGTAAGTCTATCATTCAAAAACTGTGTCGTAAAAGATTAGTTAATTATGGCCAATGCTACAATCCAATGCTACAGTCCAATGTTACAATCCAATGCTACAATAAAACAATTTGGTGATACTAGAACAAGAGTACAAACTGCCTAACATTTTTAAGGATTTTGGTATGGAAATAACTAAAACTTAATTCACTGGTACTGTTCCAAAGTCGTATAAATTGCTAAACATCAGATTGAATTAAAACCATTTTACGAAATTGTAAATCTGTCTCCGGAACTGGATCCTGAAACGCGCTTGCGCCTCGGCCATCAACAGGAGCAAGGCTAGACATTAATAATAATAATAATTTGTATACTACACTGACGCTAAAGGTTCAACGCACCTATGTCTGGTATCACCTGTCGCGACGGGAATTTTGTTTCGACATCAGCCAATCTTATTTTGGCGAAGGGCTATGATCTGAGAAGACATCTTAGTCTATGTTTACATTTAATAAAAGCAAATATAAATTAAGTTTTCTCCTTGTTCGTCTTGATTCTAGAAAATTTTTACTCGTTCCTCCAGGTCTTACTTAGCATATTCACAATTTTAATGCTGTCGACATACCTATCATTTTTCAGCCGTCAGATCTGAGAGTGCAGAATTAAATCCTCTGTTAGAAACCTACCAATGCCAATTAACTTTATTGAAATTTATCCGACGTTGTTTATTCAGATATTGTGACTACTGGTAATAATAGACTGGAATATAAAAATTGGCTTGACGACGGTTGAATTGTTGTTCCACAAACAAAGCAGCTTTTCTAGATGGACAAATGAATTGAAAAGTTTTATTATGAACTGTTTGACATTTACTTATTGCCTGCTTATGTTCTCTGTTTCCACGTTTGAGAGTTGCCATTTACTTAGTGTGTTGTATGGCTGCCAATAAACAAAGAATCTGTGGGCGTTACGACATTCGAAATTATATAAAAAATGTCGCCACACCTGTATCCAATTGGTGAAAAATAATGTTATTAAAGTTTTTAACGAAGAATGCTCACACAAATTTCGAACATGCACTATTGGGCGCTGTTGTTAATCCTGAATATTTTTAATTATTGCGCGGCTGTAAATTGAAAACATAAGCCGCGACTGCTTTATTTCCGGTTCTGGTTTCGGTCAATATTAATTTGGAAACTATGATGGCGGCCTTTTGTGCTAACGCTTTAGTATGGGGTGATGGCTATTTTGATTACGTTTCAAAGGGAACTTCGAATGTACCTAAAAAGGGTTGAACCCTAGACACTCTTTTACTGGTTAAAACAAATAATACTTTTTTGCCGAGGGTGTATCAAGTA